TACTTAATTGTACTATCTTAATTTGTTCTACCTTTGTTTTCCATAGGCTTTGATAGTCGCTTCAGTATATCAACCACAGAAACAAGAAACTTAACATTCAAGTTTATCAAATCTCAAAAAACAGCCAAGATCTTGAAGAAAAAAAATTCTTTAAATTTTTTAAAATCGTTTTCCGCGTTCTTTAAATCAAATATGGGTTCTGACAAGTATATTCAAAGAATCTTGTCCTGTCATAACAATGAAACAAAATTTGAAATAGCATAACAATTGCCTGCTTGACTTACAATGAGAATTTCAAAAACTTACTTAAACTTTTTCAAAACAATATCTCAAGTGTAACATTTTGATTTTTCTGTTCAGGAAAAAAACTTCAGGCAACTATCTAGTAATGTTTATAAGGTTCTTTTCAATCAAGCGTGATTGACGAACATCCACTTTTTTAGCGTGTTTATGAAAGCTTAAATGAACATCGAAAAAATCGCAAGGCGCCTATGCTGAAAAATGTTAACATATCACTTCCAATCAATTCATTCCTCTTGAAATTGATCGAAACTAAATTTACCGAAAATTGCAATTACGTCCATAAATAATATCTAACAAAAGGAGTGAATATTGTCGCCATTTCTTCTAAAAGTTTTTGCTTTAAGATCTATTTGCTGCTGATTGCTATGTTTGGGTCTCATAAAAGCCTTAAAAGCGTGCATGATTCTGGCCTCTTTTCAAGGAAATTATCAAAATTTGTTCTCGATGAAGTTTACCAAAAAAAAAAACAGGTAGAATATCGAACAAAATTAAGCCCCGGGAATCTTTTTCTTTATTGGGTCATAACATTTCCCTCAAAATCATCTGCCAAAAATAATGTGAAGAAAATTAGTTGAAATTTTGAAACTTTTCACAGAATCAAAATTACAAAAAAAAATGGTTGCCTTTTTTTTTAAATCGAGAAAAGTTTTTTCTGATATTTTTTTTTTGATATTTTACCCCGCAGAACATGAGACAATAGTAAGTGTGAGCGTCTGCCTCTACCCAAATCCGCCCCTGATTTAAGTCTTTCTGAGTTGATAGGCAGATCTCAGTTTTTAACGAAGGCTACTTGGCTTAGCGTACTCTGTAAAAAATATTCAAGCGTCAAGTGCCAAAGCACAGATACAGTTAGACGATGTGTCACTTGTTGTATGCTAGGGTCTTGTGATATTATGAGGGTTCATGTGACTATCGCCGTGATCATGATGATGGAGTTCGATGACTCATAAAAAGAGAGCCTGTTCGATGATGTCCTCTTCGTCGTCCTCGATGATCTGCTTGTGGAAAGTGTTCCTCAGCTCATCGATGTCCAGCTTCTTGTTGCTGTCCTTGTCGAATTTCTTGAACAGCTTGTATGCTCTCTTCTCCAGTCTGCTCAAGTCTTTCGGGTGCAGTGCCTCCCCTTCTTGCGCCTCCACCCTAACACATACTTTGAAGTTTTGCCAATTTCAAAAAAGCACAAAAGTTTATTTGTTGAACTGGATTCGGCAAAATGTACGCGGAATCCAGATATGTTCACGAACGGTTCTGCGAGGGTTATGAGAACACAGTTTGCGCTCGTAATGAAACGCGCAAGTAAAAAATTTCGAAAAAGTATAATATGGAAAAAATATTCAGATTGTTGAAAATTCGGAGCGCTCATTTGTTACTCACGTAATCCAACTGACAAAAACTTCGTACCTTTTTACCTGTTTGGGCTCGTGTTACTTGCGTTTGAATTCTTTTAATAAAATAGAGAAACCATCGAGCTCTTCACATAACGAAAAACAGCTGTTGCGAACCTGGTAAAGTTTTACATACCAATTTTTTTTGGTCATTACCGTTTTTGGGTGAGAAATGCTATCAAATCCTCAAGTTACAACCTCGGTGTAATAGGAGAGTTTGTGAAAATAGTGATTCGATCCAATTTTTTGTTATACATTTTTTTCAGTAATTCTGACACTAACTCAAATTTCTTAACTTAGCGGAGAGATTGTTAATGTAGTCATCAATTCAGTTTTTCTGGTTATAAAATTTTTTTGACGAGACAGCTTTTTGAAATAATTTACTCGGCTAAGAACTGCTATCTCCTCCGCAAGCCAAAGCCTCAATTTACAAGATCGGGATACAGTGATTCGATTCATTTTTTTATTTATGCATTTTTTGGTTATTTTACTGGGCCGAGAACGGCTACCTCTTCCTCAAACCAAAGCTTCATGTTATAACAACGGAGTTAGCGGGGAAATTGTGGATTGAGTGATTTGATTCTATTTGTTTGGTTCTACAATTTTTCGGCTAGGTAACTTTTTTGATATTTTACCTGGCAGAGAAAGGCTACCACACCCGCATCTTCGTTTGGCAGTCTTGAACCGTTGTTGTGAACCTGTAGATGCTCTTTTAACGCTTTTTTCAAAAATAAATTTTTTTTTTTTTAATAAATGTAAACTTAAATTTAAGGGGGCTGAAAATTTCTAGGGAGCTTCACAACTTTTTATTTCCATAGAAAATTCTTCCGAGTTAAAATTTTTTCTAAATCGGACATAATAGTGAAACAATGTTTGACAAAGTCACGGTTAAAACTGATACTGGGCATATTCTACTTATATGTACTGTCTTAATTTTTTCTACCTTTGTTTTCCATAGGCTTTGATAGTCGCTTCAGTACATCAACCACAGAAACGAGAAACTTAACATTCAAGTTTATCAAATCTCAAAAAACAGCCGAGATCTTGAAGAAAAAAAAAGTTCTTTAAAGCTTTTTAAAATCGTTTTCCGCGTTCTTTAAATCAAATATGGGTTCTGAAAAGTATATTTCAAGAATTTTGTCCTGTCATAACAATGAAACAAAATTTAAAATTTGAAATAGCATAAAAATTGCCTGCTTGACTTACAACGAGAATTTCGAAAACCTACTTAAACTTTTTCAAAACAATATCTGAAGCGTAACATTTTGATTTTTCTGTTCAGGAAAAAAATTTCAAGCAACTATCTTAAAATGTTTATAAGGTTTTTTTTTCAAACAAGCAAAATTTTTTTAGCGTTAGTGACGAATATCCACTTTTTTAGCGTGTTTGTGAAAGCTTAAATAATATCAAACAAAAGGAGTGAATATTGTCGCCATTTCTTCAAAATTTTTTTGCTTTAGGATCTATTTGCTGCTCATTGCTATGTTTAGGTCTCATAAAAGCCTTAAAAGCGTGCATGATTCTGGCTTCTTTTCAAGGAAATTGGTTTCGGCTCCAAAACTACCGAAACCAAATAAAACGCATCGGTAATTTCGAAAAAAAAATTAAAGACCCGTGAATTTATAAGAATTGATACAAGAACAATTATTATCTAATTTTGAACTTAATTCTTTTTTATTTTGCGATAGATATCTTAGACATGACAAAAAAGTTCGTCTATTTATGTTACTTCTTTTGTTAACCAAACTTTTTTGAAGAAAAACTTCTAGCTGGCTCCAATGTTATCTTATTTTTTTACTCAAAAATCAGAACAAACATGAACCTTTAGAATTGAGTAGTTATTATGCAACATCCATAACAGTCTCAAAATAATTCACTCAATTATTATAGTTTTTCTTTTTGGTGAATATATTACCTTATTTAGGGCGTTTGATCAGGTTCTGTTAAAAGCGCCGTGTTTTTTTTGCTGCGTTTCAATGTATAATTTCCTACATCAACACCAATCAATGGGTAGATAGAAAACGTTTCATTTCAACTGGAATTAATTTACCTTTCATTTCGTTTAACATTAAATCCTCAAAGTTTTTCTGGTTTAATTACAGGCATCGATAGTGAGGAAAACAATACCATGTTTTTCAATAAGAATGACGCGTTTAAAAAAACTCGAGCTAGTTCTAAAACATCAGCTATTCAAAAGCGTTGTCAATTTCGGAGTTTACCAAAATTGGCAGTCTTCGTCTTGAACCCAGAATGTCATGTTAACTTCACCGTCATAGTGTTAAAGTAACGGGAAGCAATTAAAAAATTGTAGCGTAAGCAAAAAATGCCAGTCGATTAAAAGTATCTTTGTTCTTTTTTGTGCGTTATAGTTTTTGTGCGTCAAAGATTCAAGGTTTTCAACTTGATTAGGCGATCAAATTGAAAACAAACTTTGGAATTTTGTGGCAGTAATTTGAAGAATGTGCGTTTAAAAATGTGTTACTAATGGTTATTTCCAAAACTCATTAATTGAAGAGTAATATATTTATAGTTTTAAAGTGTCATTTAATGAACTTTTGTATTTTCTGCCTTATTGTTGTTATTATATTTTCTGTATTTACAATATTATATATGTACTTATATTTTATTGTTTTATAATTATTGGATCTTTTTAACAATCCACCCTATTGCAATACCAGACTCAAACTCGGCGCGACTATGCAATTTGGGTCTAAATCCGGATGTGGCGCGACCCTTAAAGTCTGGACATGAGTCTGGGACTTCGACCCGGGAAGGTACAAAATTCGTATATGCTTAACTGGTCAATTCTTTATTTATAGGGGGGGGGGGGATTCGTTGCAAGGTACAATAGGGGGGTGGGAATAGTTAACAAGATCCTAATTATTTTTAGTGACTATAAGAACACGTTATTTTCTTGAGTCATTATGCGCCTAAAACTCAACCCTAGTGCTTGAGTTCAAAAACAAGTTGAGCTTAAAAAGCAGTTTTTTTAGAAATCTGGGCCAATTTTACAGATAAGAGTCACATCAGTAAATAGATTCAAAAAATTCAGCATGCTCAGATATCATTAAAACTTAAAGATTTATAATCATAAAGCAGTATAGTCATCTTTAGTTGTTCAATTCAAGGGTGGATTTAGAAAACTCTCGAGGGACGGATTCACAGAAGCAAGCATTAAAAAAAGTTGTTGCCCTTTTTTTAATTCGAGAAAATTTTTTTCTGATATTTTTTTAAGTCGCCACAAAAACGTAGGCGAAATTTTCCGTTGATTTCTGCTTAAGGTTTGGGCTGGCATCGCCCCTCCCCCCAAATGTAGCATGTATTGAAGCTGCCTTGAAATTATCGGGTGCTTGTGCCAAAATTTATTTTCGTTAAATAAAACCAGAGGGTGAGGCAATCTTAAGAATGAGCGTATGCCCCTCCCCAAATCCGCCCCTGATTTAAGTCTTTCTGAGTTGATAGGCAGATCTCAGTTTTTAACGAAGGCTACTTGGCTTAGCGTACTCTGTAAAAAATATTCAAGCGTCAAGTGCCAAAGCACAGATACAGTTAGACGATGTGTCACTTGTTGTATGCTAGGGTCTTGTGATATTATGAGGGTTCATGTGACTATCGCCGTGATCATGATGATGGAGTTCGATGACTCATAAAAAGAGAGCCTGTTCGATGATGTCCTCTTCGTCGTCCTCGATGATCTGCTTGTGGAAGTAGTTCCTCAGCTCATCGATGTCCAGCTTCTTGTTGTTGTCCTTGTCGAATTTCTTGAACAGCTTGTAGGCTCTCTTCTCCAGTCTGCTCAAGTCTTTCGGGTGCAGTGCCTCCCCTTCTTGCGCTTCCACCCTAACACATACTTTGAAGTTTTGCCAATTTCAAAAAAGCATAAAAGCTTGTTTGTTGAACTGGATTCGGCAAAAATGTACGCGGAAACCAGATATGTTCACGTACTGTTCAGCGAGGGTTATGAGAACACAGTTTGCGCTCGTAATGAAACGCGCAAGAAATAAATTTCGAAAAAGTATAAAGAGGAAAAAATTTTCAGAGCGTTGAAAATTCGGAGCGCTCATTTGTTATTCACGTAATCCAACTGACAAAAACTCCGTACCTTTTTAACTGTCCGGGCTCGTGTTACTTGCGTTTGAATTCTTTTAATACAATAGAGAAACCATCGAGCTCTTCACATAACGAAAAACAGCTGTTGCGAACCTGGTAAAGTTTTACATACCAATTTTTTTTGGTCATTACCATTTTTTGGGTGAGAAATGCTATCAAATCCTCAAGTTACAACCTCGGTGTAATAGGAGAGTTTGTGAAAATAGCGATTCGATCTATTTTTTTGTTATACATTTTTTTCAGTAATTCTGACACTAACGCAAAAATCTTAAGTTAGCGGAGAGATTGTTAATGTAGTCATCAATTCAGTTTTTTTGGTTATAAAACTTTTTTCACGAGACAGCTTTTTGAAATAGTTTTCTCGGCTAAGAAATGCTATCTCCTCCAAAAGCCTAAGCCTCAATTTACAACAACGATATTAATGGAGATACTCTGGATACAGTGATTCGATTCACTTTTTTATTTACGCATTTTTTGGTTATTTTACTGGGCCGAGAACGGCTACCTCATCCTCAAGCCAAAGCCTCAGGTTATAACAACGGAGTTAGCGGGGAAATTGTGGATTTAGTGATTTGATTCTATTTGTTTGGTTCTACAATTTTTTGGCTAGGTAACTTTTTTGATATTTTAGCTGAGAGAGAAAGGCTACCACACCCGCATGCCAAAACGTCAAGTTACAGTTTCTGATTTAGTGGATAGATTGTGGATATGGTGTTTCGATTCAATTTGTTTCGTAATATAATTTTTTGGTTAGGCAGCTCTTCTGATTTTTTTCCTGGCCGCTGTTTTCTTGCGAATAAAATCTAGATATTTATAATTTAGAAACTTCGGATATTGACAAGTTACTAACAACTCGTGTCATTAAACTGATTGCAAAAGTTTCGAGCATAGATTAAATAATATTAATTGAATTAAATCAATGCTTATTGTTCCGACTTTCGATACGAAAGTAACGGAATATTTGTGCTTGGGGTGGGTTTTTTTTCTTCGGACAAATTTTGACTTTTAACTAGCCATTTTTGACTGAATTTTTTTTATATCATTCAAAAGGTATTGTTGTCCTGGGTTTCAATTTGAAAAGATATTTTACCTGTTATCGTTTTTCGTAAAATTATGGGGGTTTAAAGATTTGCCACATGAAACTTATTTGCCATAATTGATTTGTTACAAAGAGCGAAATCTATTTTTTTGTGGTTCATATGGGGGGGGGGATGATTTTGTAAAAAAAATTCAAATTTTAGAGAAAAAAAATCTTTTTTTTTCTTACATTTTATTTGTTAGTGATATTTATGTTATAACTGCTCCATAAATCTTAAAAGGCAGTCGGAAGGTTCAGGGCTTCGCCCTGATATGAGGAGTCTTGTTAGAATTGTTAATACCTGAACCGTTTGGATTGGAAATATGACAACGAATCAGCATCTTCAAGCGAAAACAGAAAAACTTCAAAATCAAGTTTAATTCACTTATATTCTTTGAAAATCAAGATGTAACTGATAGTAAATGATATTGGCTGTGGAGCCGTAAAAAAACAAACAGTTTGACATATATAGCTCTATCAATTTTTTTAACATCAAAAATGATCCAAGACAAGCAAAAAGACCGTCGGATTAACTTAACAGTTTGCCCTGATAAGAGAAGATCCAATTTTTATGTTGAAATGAAGCGGAAACCTACAGTATGCGATTTATTTTGGGAGCATCTAACATGAACTTCAAATATTTCAAGCTAAGCAGGAAAATGTTTGATTGTTACTACCATTGAAAAATCGGGAAGAACTTTGTAATCGGGTAATTTTTCTTTTTTTTTGTTTTCCACGGAAAGTCTGATATATCGAAGAATCATCAAAATGAGAACTTTTTCAGTCGTATTTCAAACGACCTTACAAATTTTTCAAAAAGATGTCTCCGTGTAGAAAAACTGCTTTGAAATTTTTGATAATTATTCTAAATTCGAACCAGTAACGCATTCGAGTAACGCTTGTTCGTTATATGGAAATTTACTTTTTAAGACTTTTAGGATACAAAAACTTATTTTTACTAAAGATAAAACTGGCTTGGGATGTTTCATTTAGCGTTTATCTGGCACTAATAAATTTTTCGGAAAAAATCCAAAATTTTTGTGAAAAATTTAGAAAAAACTTTTTTTTTCACTTTTCAAAATATTTTTTAGCTACAAATATCGTCGATCATACCTAATTCACTAATTTCTACGCAACTTTGTTGTTTTTAATCCACATAAAAAACAATATAATTTTGAAAAAAAAAGAATATAATTTTATGAAAATGTTTGGAACTTTCTGTGCAAGTAGCACAGAAACCGGCTATCCCTGTTTGATTATTTGGATAAATTCGCTCTAAAAAATTTTCAATTCTTTTATTGAGCGGAAACAGAAAAAAAATGTTTGCTTTAAACACGGAGCGAGCGTATTCTAGAAACTTTGTTTGGTTAAATTTATTTCTTTTATTATTCCCAATTTTATGGATGACTACTAGCATATCAGTAATTTTTAGCCAAATTAAAGCATCAGAAAACCTCCAGATATGAATAATGCTCATTAAATTTTTTGATCAAACACTTTTTATCTAAACCGGTTAAAGAATTAATTGCTTTTTGTTCCGAATAAAATAGACTTCAAAATTGTCGGAAGCTCGTTTATCGACTAATAATCTTTTCATAGATTATTTTTTTGAACTTGTTTTAGGGCTTTTGTTCAGTTATCACGAAGCACCGCTGTTGTGCCACTGCTGAAGAACTACAGGCAACTTTTTTGGTTGTTTTTCAGGGCTTGGTAATGTTGCCTCGCCCGCAAGCAACGAGCACGGATCATGGTGGGCCCCGAACATCGGACCTAATGATTGAGAAGCCCAGACAAAACGTAACCACTTCACCACCGATTGGCTTTTGATAAATAAACATATTTTTTATGCAACTAACAGAACTTTACAAAACCAGGCCGTTGTTCGACTGAGGCTGCTAGGCAAATGAATCCATTTTTTAAATTAAAATTGCAGAACAGTTTTTAATGTATTACATTTCTGGTAGATTAGGGAAAGTTTGAGCTTCGATTTATGTATTAAAATAATTAAATCAGTTTTGAATCTAAAAGTAAAGCATAATTTTAAGGCCACACTTTTCTCAATTAAATTTAAACGCGACTCTAAGCGGGCAAAAAAATTGAGCTAAATAAAATCTTTACTATCGATACAAAAAAGAAAAATTCCAAACATGAGTATGAAATAGCATCCCATTCGTTCAATAACTCATATTCTAAATACAAAATAGTAATCAATTCCTACGCAAGAAGAACAAAATGTTCTGATTTTGCGAAAGAATTGGAAAGTTTAAAGAAAACAATCAGTTGAGTGGGCGGTGGGACAAAAAATGCCTAACCTGTATCTGAAGTGGTCGACAATAATCTGTTTGAACTCCTGTCTGCTGATGAACCCATCGTTGTCCGCGTCTCCCTTCTCCAACATCAGGTTGACCCTGTCCTCGAACTGTTTCCGCATCTGGTTAGGCGTCGCCCACACTGGATGTCGCTGGGAGGGGGGTTTGATCCCCGCCTGTGTCTGGGCCACCAGAG